TGGGAAAAGGGGAATTGGAGCTGCAACTCCAACACCTCCACTTGAGTTCAAACACCAAACAAGTAAATAAACATAATTCAGGAAAACATACAGAAATTCTGTTTTTACTTTATTTGCAAGCCTTCAGAGAAACCAGTTTCCAGGTTCTTTGCACACACATCTCTCCCATTCCCTGCCCCGAGCCCCTGGCACAGCTCTTGATGCTGTGTGGATCTGGAGGCACTGGGAGCACTGTGGGCTGGGGACACCCAGCTGCCCTGCCCTGCCCTGCCCGCTGCAGGGCCTGAAGCTCAGCTGGAGCTGCGAGCCCCATCCTCAGCCCCGGGTGCTCCCAGGGAGCTGCCAAGCCCTTGGGGACAGAGTCTCCTGCAGCAGCTGCAGCTGCAGCTCTGAAAGCCGATGGCACTCGGGGCACTGGCGCAGGTGCAGTTAGAAACAGCACAATGTACGGCCCGGGGGCATTTCCAAAGGATGTGCCTGGAGCAGAGGGGATGCAGGGGGGCCACGCTGCCAGCTCAGGGTGGCACAGACCTGGCTGTCTCCAAGGGCAGCCCCTGGGCACAACGGGCAAGTGCTTGTGGAACGGGCACATCAGTGGAATGGCACCCAACGTGCAGCTCCAGGCACCAGCGCTGGGCACACAAAAATGCGGCACAGCCTATTCTGGACTTGCTCTCCCACCTTGTATTAGCACGCAGAGACGCGGACTCCCAAGCAGGAAGACTGTGAAACAGCAATTAAGTTGGATGCCTGGTTTTAGTGGACTGAAGCATCTGGAAAGCAGGACAAGAAAAATCTCAAGCATTCATCTTCAGCACTGAAATATTCCATGTGACCAGGAAGGTGTGCTAGAAAATACAGCTGTGGAGGGATTTATGCTGTTTCACAAGCTGCTGGCAGCAGCACTGGCTAGCTGGACACACAGAGCCCTGAGCACCTCTGAAGGTGAAGTCACGATGTGATATTCCAGGTTTTACAGTAGCGGTTTCTGTAGACAGTGAGCGTGCAGCCAGCTCTGAGTCTGCTGCACACAGGAGCAGTGTGATGGGAGGCCTGATGTACTGACACTGAGGGTCTATTAAGCTCATAGCAGTTAAAATGAAAGCCTTCAGCATCTGCAAGTTTAATGGTGCCACAGTCACAGCCTGGGGACAGCGGAGAGAAGGAAGAATAAAGGATTCTCCAGACTGAAAAAGCAAAGGAATATACATCTTGTAAACCTGTTTCATGCAGAGACCTGGATGAAAACCTACCAGCAGTTTTTACTAGAGGTTTACTGTGTGTCTGCATGCAGAGAGGGGGCATCTGCCATGAGGAGCTGCTCAGGAGGAGCAAGGGCCTGTCCCTGCAGGGACACCCTCCCCACACAGCAGGGCTGGAGCAACACGTGCTCCTTGCAAAGCCCCTGATCCCCCTCAGGATGCATTCCTGGTGCGGGGAAGGGGGGCCTTTGGAAACACGGGTATCCCTCGCGCTGTGCCCCAGCCCAAGGCACAGCGGGAGCAGCAAAGCCCCTGATCCCCCTCAGGATGCATTCCTGGTGCGGGGAAGGGGGGCCTTTGGAAACACGGGTATCCCTCGCGCTGTGCCCCAGCCCAAGGCACAGCGGGAGCAGCAAAGCCCCTGATCCCCCTCAGGATGCATTCCTGGTGCGGGGAAGGGGGGCCTTTGGTCTCCCTCCCTCGCTGCCCCAGCCCAAGGCACAGCAGGAGCACCAGCCACAGCCACGGCTCATTCCCAATACACGTGTGTGACACCAGCCCAAGGGTCCTGGCTGCCCCTTCCCTCCCTCAGGTGGGCTTTCCTCAAGGGAGAGGCAAGCATCTGTCACTCCAAGGCAGGGGCACTGCCTTCCCTGTGCCCTGAGCTGGCTCCTTGGTGCCACAACCAGGGAAGCTGCAGAGCAGCTGAGAAGATGCTGAGCTGACCTGTCTCTCCTGGCACTGCTCTCAACCAAGTCGTACCAGTTTGAGTTCTACAGGCTGCTATTCTGCCTGTTGTTTTTCCAGAAACTTGTTTTACTTAATTAAAACCCTGTCATTACCTGACTAGTACTTTCCTTGCAAAGAAACCCCAAGGACAAAGCAGTAACAGAAGTGATCCTACCAGCTTTTCCAACTCAAACCAAGTTAAAAGAAAAAAAACAAATCAAATTTTTCCAGTTTTGTGCATCCACAAATGACCTGCAGTGTTTGTACATTTTTCCTACAGTAGCTACCTTCTGCAGAACACATCACATGCCAGAAGACAGAAAGTTTCACCATAGAAGGTGTCACCAGTGACAAACTTGTGCTGTGGCCAGGATTAGCAGGAGCGGTGTCAGGGTTGAAGCCACTTCACGGACTCCTGACGACAAAAACCTTTGTGCCACTGCTGGTGAAGGGCCAGCATGATGGATTATACAGTGTTCCCATGCAATGTTACCAGGTTACCCAGAGCAGCTGTGGCTGCCCCTGCATCCCTGGCAGTGCCCCAGGCCAGGCTGGAGGGGGCTGGGAGCACCTGGGACAGTGGGAGGTGTCCCTGCCATGGCTGGGGTGGCACTGGGTGGACTTCAAGGTCCCTTCCAGCCCATACCCTTTCATGCCATCCCTCAGGAAAGGACAGTGAATGAGCAGCTGAAGGAAACATTTCAGTTCTACCTCGTGCAAAATCAAGGAAAGCAACAAAATTCAATGCTCCTGCAAGGAGAGAATTAGGTACAGACAATTCTCTGAAATAATGAGCAATTTTATAAGTGATGCACCAAAACTCCAGACAGGCTGGTCTAATTGGGAAACTAGGTAAATGTGACATGTGGAACACAGGCAGTTGTGTAGTTCTGCTTTTCTAGTTTTGCAGTTCTTTATCCAACAGTCATGTTCTCTTCAGCCCGGCAGCCTGTGCTGGCAGCTCAGCTCAGACATGTAAGGCAGGAAATCCCCTGTGGAAAGCCAGCTGAAGGAGGCCAACAAAACAGTGGTATCTGCTAAATGTACATAGCCACACACACATGCAGAGGTTTGGCTGAAGAGCACAGAGGGAAGGAAAGTTTTGGTCTAATCCAGGCCACCCCATTATTTTGTCATCCACGTGTTCTCCAGATGTTGTTCTTTCCCCTGTTTACAGACCTGCTGTGTACCTGCAGCTCAGATGCCATCGTGTCTGGAGCGAGGGCTGTTCTCCTCCTGGAGGCCCTGCCCTGCAGCCTGTGCCCCGTCCTGGTCCTGGCCAGGTCCTGCTGGGGCCACAGCCAGGGTTCCCTGCGGGCTGACACGTGGGGGCAAGCACGCTCCCACTGCGACCGCCAGCTCTGGGCTCGGGACTCCTCTTGGCCACAGCGTTCCCACTCCCCATGGACGGACAGCACAGCCAGTCTGTCTGATCTGAGCATCAGGGGCTTCTCAACCTGTCCCTGCTCCTGCAGCTGGGCCGGGCCAGCCCGCCCGGACCCACAAGGGCAAGGACAGATGTCAGAACGATGGTGACACTCGTCACCTTTGTCCCAGACTGCTCACACACAGTGAAGACAGCTCAGAGGATGAAGTTTGCTGCTCCTTTAACCAGAGCACAGTCCAGACAGGAGCCATGGATTGCCCAGGACTCTTCCACTGGCAAGGACAGTACATTCTGGGCAGCAGGTTTATTTATACTCCTGATCTAGCTAATAGGAATTTGGGTCCAATCCAAACACTCCTGATATAATAAAGTCTTTAGCCAGAGTTAAGCAGCAGCTCTATGGGCAAGATCAAGAAGGAAGCTGAAATGTTGCTGCTGCCGTTGTCCAGACACCCTGAGCACACAGCATGAATATGTCATGCTCTGGTTATTTACTGCAGCCAGGCTTGCTGAGATGGAGTCATTACCCAAGCAAAGCCAGTCCTTCATCACACTCAAGCAAGGGGTCGAGTCCCATGACAGAGGGTATGAAAAACTCCCCTTTTCCCATCAGGATCACATGAGCACTGACCGTCCCAGTCCCACTGCATTGTGACAGTTCAGATAATGAAGAGTCCAGAGGAGCAGCCCTGGCTTGCTCACAGAGTCCTTCAAGCATGAAACAGGGCAGAGCAGTCAGGGGACAACATCACGATCCACACTGCATAAAGCATGGCCTTTGACTCGAGGCTCTTCCCAGTGATACCTCTGGTTTTCAACAAAAGTTAATCCCCCTTGTCTAATACCATCACAGCTGAGCTCTTGTTGGGACACTGATGACAGAAAGGTTGTGAAATGATTCCAGGTTTCATCCAAGTCACTGAATTTTCCCATGAACTTGTATTCCCAGTCATGCCACAGCCTGCATTTTTAGGCACCAAATTTTCATGCCAGGCAGGCTGTTTGATGAGAAAGAGAAACCCATCCATTACAAAGAATCAGCTCTCACATTTCCACTCCCACCTAATGTCCTCACACAGATGTGAAGTCCAAAGGAATTTCATTTGATCCAGGCCATTCTCAGAGAAACACTGAAAATTTAGGTACAAACCAAACCCCAAGTATTGTGAGAGATATTGAAATACAAAAACAGTTTTTGGTACAATCATTCTGAGGAGCCGTAAAGGGCTTCCATAAGAAATCCAAACCAGAGGGATCAGAAGGACGGGAGCAAAGGGGTCCTAAACTGTTACAGGTAACTGCTGGGCACCAGCACATACATATGATAAATGTCAAATTAATGCCAGCGGAAGTTTTAGTTCTTTGACCCAAGGAAACTGAAAGCCTGTTAGTCTTCCAGGCACACAGCTACAGATTTATCAATTCTTTGAACAGGCTGCTTCCTCACAGTGTCCTGCCTGGCCAGCATTTCCCTCTGGGAAGAGAGGCTCCAATTCCCCCAAAAGAGTTCGGAATTAAGCTTCTCACCACCTCTGAAATTACCCCCACCAACTAACAACCAAGCATGTAAATTGCCAATCTCAGATTTAATGGAAAAACAAATGCAAACAAATAGTGGAATACAGATTAAAAAAAGCACTAGGAGGCTTTTCATGGCAAGCGTTAGTGCAGCAATCACTCACCTGATACTGGAGGCAAAGTTATGTCTCAAACTGCGTTAAGAGATCTCGTATTTCTGGAGTCAGGTGCTTGACTGCCTTTGCAGCCTCCGTGATGGCTTTCCGGTACATGCCCTTCTTCTTGCGATTAAACCTCAGTTTGAAAAATTCCGAGAAAGGGGAGAGTTTTGAGACAGACAAGAACGAGGTGGTCGGAGAACCAAACCATGACACTTTAGCTTCTCGCCACGAAGGTTCCCCGTTTTCCTTCTGGCTAAGGTTTATGTCAAGGACACGTGCTGGCCACCACGGAAACCCGTGAATTTTACCCCAGACAATATCCCCCACTGAAACAGTCCTTCCATCTTCTGTAACACATTTAGACACACTCTGGGTGTGCAGTCTGACTGTCAGCGGGGGCACAATTTTACGCTCATCTTTTGAAGATGAAGAGACAGAGGCATCATCACCAGGCAAAAAGTCACACAGTTCTGGTGATGTCACTTCTGAACTAGAAGACTTGGATTCATCTAGACTGTCATTGCTACACACCGATAAACTAGAAGAATCTGCTTTTCTTTTACGGTAATTCATGAGGAAAGCCAAGTTATCATGTCCATCTTTACCCTGGGGAAACCTTTTGAAGTCATCATCTTCCCCTGAACTGCCTGAAGACATCTCGGCTAAACTTCTGTCGGCGGACTCATCGTTGTAAAACGCTCCGGGATCGGACTCCCTGCTGTTCTGGAGGACATTGATTTCGTCAATCAGTTCTGCCTTATAGATTGAAACACTCTCGCCATCGTTGATGCGATGGGGCTTCAGCCGTATCTTTGGGGGCGGGACATCCACGCTGGAATGCACTGGCCGCGTGAGCTTCAGTTTTGGAATGGAAGCAAGCGGGCTGCCTGCTGACTTGTCCATTAAACATTTGGTTTGTCGACACCGTTCAGAGTCCCCGCTCTCCTCTTGGTCCCCGGCTCCGTTCTGCAGCACCGGCTCCGGACAGAACGGTTTGACTGAGCCATGAACCCGGGAAGGGATTTTTACCACTTCACCTTTCCCTTGCGGAGTACTGTAGGATATTTTTATAACTGGCGTTCGATGCACCAGTTCCCCAGAAAACTTGTCATCCTCCCTCTTCTCTCTTTTGTTTCTTTTCTCCACGTAGTCGGAGTCGCCGTGCTTCTTCTGCTCCTTGTCCTGGACGCTCAGCTTCCTCCTGGTCTTGGCGTTCTGCCGCGGCGCGCCGGCGTCCTCGGGGCTCAGCGTGTTCTTGCACTTCTCGCAGAGCACCTGCCGGGGCCGCAGCCGGATGGTGCTCACGATGAGCCTGCCCGGGTCCCTGTTGCGCGACAAGCGCCTCCTCGTCCTCTTTACGGTCCGCGGCGGCGGCTGCGGGACCCACTGGTTGTAGGTGTGCCGCAGCCACAGGGGCCGGGGGAACGGCGCTCCCTCGAAGTAGGGCGGGAAGGGCGGCAGGCCGCCCGGGGCGGGCAGCAGCGGCGGCAGCGGCTCCTCGGCGGGCAGGGGGCCGGCGGGCCGCGGCTCTGGATCGCCCTCGGTGGCACCCCTGCCGTCGGCGGCTCCCCTGCCCTCGGCGGCACCCCTGCCTTCAGCGGCTCCCCTGCCCTCGGCGGCTCCGGTAGCGCAGGCACCACCGGCGGGAGGCTCCTCGTGCTTCGGGAAGGACGATGGCAGACAGAACAATCCAGACCTAAATTGGGGTGAGAAGGACCGGAAAGAAACACAGTCAGGAGCTTTGAAAGGTGCTTCTCTGGGAACCCAAAAGATCCCACCATGCCACAGCTTTAGTACTGAGAACCCAACACTTTCTCTTGACTTTTACAATCAAGCAGCCAATTCTGCCACTCTAAAAAATAACAGCAGTGCAGAAATCTGGCAAGGTGTCCTACTCTTCTCCCAGAAAAGGCACAGGGATCAAAACCTCTATTTCTATGAACCCTTTGCACAAAGTTTTGCTCTAAGCAGTTGTAAGTTTTATCCCACAAAGCAGTTTACTGCATCAGCAAGCTGGCAAGGCCAGAGGAGGGATGTGATCTGGATTAGCCTAGGGAGCTAAGAAACTGCCCTTCTTCTCAGTGCAGATGCATGGCTGATTTTCCAGTTTTTCATTCTGAACCTGAATACCCTGCCCTCGGTGGATAACTTGCACAGGTTCACCAAGACACAGCTCTGCTCCTCTTCCTCTCCACATTCAGCTGCATTTGGTAACACAAGGCACCCATGGCTCCTCCAGAACAGCAGGCTTGTTCACAATGGTGATACTCTGTCCTTCAATGCCAAGTCTCATTACAGGCCACCACGGCCCGGACACAATATCCTGCCTGGATATTGGCAAAAGCAAATCCTCTCAAATGCTGAAACTCACAACTGCAATTCACGTCTCCAAAATGTATGAATTTATGCCCTTAGCCTGGCATTAGAAATATTACGCTAACACAGCACTGGGACAGATCCTGCCCTGAAACACTGACTCTGACTGGGCAAGCTCCCTGCCCTGGCTTTCCAGAGACACTTCTGCAGAGACCACGGCATCAGTGAAGCACGTGGGCCTTCTCAATAATAACAAAATGTTGCGTAGGAGAGTCACAAAGAAGAGACAAAGGAATGGAGAACAGGTACAGACCAAATACCAGTGGGTTTTCTGTGCTACATTCCCATTCCCCTCCTTGCCAGCCTTTGCTTTCTTTCCAACCACCAGAAGGAAGGACCCTTCCTGAGGCAAGGGAGGAGTGTCTTGGGGGTGTCACAGAGGGGGACACTTTGGTAAGCGTTACAGAGAGCACTGAAGAGGCGCTGAAGGCATCCGCTCTGCCACACCTCTCATCAAGAGCAGCACAGAGCCACTGCCACGGGTTTCCCGACGGAGAGGAGCCTCCAAAGTCCTTCCCCATTACTGAAAAAGTGCAACAACCTGCTGCTAAATGACACTTTAACTGGGAAAGGATTAAGCTGTTGAAATCACGTAATTTGGAACAAAATATTTTTGTTCCAAGAGGCTTTTTTTAAACAGAGACAACCAAGAATGTAGGTGTCTTTAAATGACAACCCAGAAAGCCAGTACAGTCTGTAGAGCCAGACAGAGATGTCAGCACCATTCATACTCCAAAGCGAGGCCACTTCTGAATGAAATGATGGCTGTAAGTTATGGTTATTTTATGCAGAGAGATTGCATGACTTGGTCACGACAGAAAACTGCTCCTCGTGTAGACACAAGCCCGCTCCCCCTGTTCAGGCCACTGCACCCTCCAGAGCAGCATGGAGCTCCTCTCCTGGCAGCAGTGGAGCACCCAAAGGTTCACTCACAGGATGGCTTGTGCCTGTAGCGTTGATGTACCAGCAGCTGTAACCCCAGTGGGCTGGACACAGCCTCTGTGCCACTGAACGTGCCCACAGACCCAGGTCACTGCCTCCCCAGCTGCCAGCCTGTGCCAGGCACCGTTCAGCGGGGAGGCCTGTCAGAAAGAGGGGGACAGACTTCTCAGTAGGGCCTGTCGGGATAGGACAAGGGGGGAAGGCTTCCCACGGCCAGAGGACAGGGGTGGATGGGACACTGGGCAGGAACTGTTCCCTGGCAGGGTGGGCAGCCCTGGCACAGCTGTGGCTGCCCCTGGATCCCTGGCAGTGCCCAAGGCCAGGCTGGACACTGGGGCTGGAGCACCTGGGACAGTGGGAGGTGTCCCTGCCATGGCAGGGGTGGAACAGGATGAGCTTTAATGTCCCTTGCAATCCAAGCCACTCTGGGATTCTGTGATTAGAGCAGCAGGAAATACTGCTGATGGGATTTCACCCTGCTTGTAATCCCTCTTTCTGGGGCAGCTGCAGCCAACTGGACTTGGTCATCTCAATCCAGTCTCTGCTTGATACGGGAGATCCCATCCTCCTTTATTTATATCCCTGCATAAATAAAACCCAACTTTTAAAGTAAGTTCAATTGCAGCAAAGCTACCAAATCTTGTTATCAGAAGCACGGTGGCAGCATTTAAATCTCCACATGAGCATACACACTATGGAGCTCGCTCTGAGCAGAGCCAGTTTATTGGCAGCAAATAACTGCCAGTCACTGGGCAGGCCCTGGTGCTGCTGCATCATCCAGGCTGGGGCAAGAAGGGACACGAGCACTGTTTCTGCAAATAATTCCCCAGCAGCTGGAAGGTCAGGCATGACTGCTCCCTGCATCCTCCCATTCCTAAAGGCACAGGGGGCAGAAAGGGCACGGGCAGGGGACAGGCAGGACATGGGCAGGGGACGGGCAGGCAGTTCTGCTGCCCATGGGCTGAGCCCCTGCACACTCAGGCAGGCAGTTTGGGGTTCAAACCTGCACCTGCCTTTGTGGCAAAACACCAGAGGTGTCCAGCCAGGACCTGGATGGCCAGGGGTGCCCTGGGTGCTCAGGGTGGCAGGCCTTCCTCCTGCTCAGCTCCCCACAGCATGCACGACAGCTCAGGAGAATTAAGCAAGGCATTAGAGATTGTCTGTGTTAGAAGGGACCTTAAAAAACATCCAGGAGTTCCAGTTCTCCTGCCCTGAGCTGGGATGTCATTCATTAGACGAGCTGCTCCAAGCCCTGTCCAAGCTGACCTTGAACACTTTCAGAGATGGAGCAGCCACAACTAAGTAAAACAGATTCATCTACTGTGTGACGCTGAAACCACTTTAAACCACAAAAGAAAGCTGAACAATCACCATGCAGGCCCTTCTTCCTTTTTGGGGTAATCTGCTCTTTCTATGCAGGTCCAACAACCTGCTTGGGGGCTCCTCTCCTGCCAGTCCCATCTCCCAGGGGGTGCAGGCAGAGCATGGCTGACCCGTGCACAGGGACAGGCTGGTGGGACACAGCTCCACCAGCCAGGTGGCAGCAGCAGGGGAAACAGCTCTGCCACACACCCACTGCAGGCACTCCAAGCTCAGCACCGAGTGGGTGAATTCCTGCTGCCTCTGGGACACATCCTGACCTTCACCTCCCAGCCGCTGCCAGGCCGCCTCCTGCGCTGCGCTGCAGGATGAACGAGATCTCTCCTCCCCTCCACAGCCCAGGCCTGGCATGACTGCAGCGCTGGCTCCAAGTCCCCAGGGTCTGCCTCACTCACAGGGTCCCCAGAGAGAGCCACGAGCAGAGGAGCAGAGGCTGCGGCTGTCCCCGTGTGCTGGCCAGCACCCCTCCCTGCCCGCCACGCTCAGCACCGGCCAGCCAGCGCTCAGCACCACCAGGGCAGGGCTCAGCACCAGGGGATGGGCACAGAACGGGCACTGACCCTCGGGACAGCCCCAGAACGGGCACTGACCCTCGGAACAGCCCCAGAATGGGCACTGACCCTCGGGGACAGCCCCAGAATGGGCACTGACCCTCGGGGACAGCCCCAGAATGGGCACTGACCCTCGGGACAGCCCCAGAATGGGCACTGACCCTCAGGGACAGCCCCCGTGCTCAGAGGGCATCCCTGCCTCCCAGCCAGTGTCACCACCCACAGGGCTGCGGCAGCACCGGGCTGCAGAGCTGCCTCAAAGCCCGGGAAAAACACCTGTCTGGTTGTTTCCTGGACCCACTAGGAGCAAAGGGAAGAAACAAGATGAAGAAAAATAATGGAGAAAGGTTAGGGTGAAAAAAAACAGGTGAAAGAAGTGTCACTGCAGAGGAAAACATCTGAAATGTGAGAAGGCAGAAAGGGATGGTTTAGGGTGCTCGAGGGACACCAACTGCTCAGGCTGGGACCAGACTCCAGGGTGGGTTTATGGACTCTGCACAGCAGTAGGTGCCTGAAAGCGTTTGAAAATCTGACTCAAATGTTCTGGGATAGCCACGTTAAACTAAATAAATGACAAAAATGAAGCTCAGAACTCCTGCTCTGCTCATCTCGCAGGCTGGATCAGAGAGGTGAGGCTGCCGTGCTCCCACGCAGCACGGATCTGTCCCTTCCCCAGCACACAGCACCAAACCTGCTCCTCACAGGAGCACGGCCCGGCACCGCGCACAGCCCGGAGAGCCGGCCGTGCCCGGGACAGCCGGCCCTGCCCGGGACAGCCGGCCCTGCCCGGGACAGCGCCCCGGCCCGGGACAGCCCCCGGCCCCGCCGCGGGCACAAACACCTCCCGAGCCAGGCAGGTGTGAGGGACCACGAGGTGCCCGCGGTGCAGAGCCCAGCCCGCGGCCCCGCTCCGAGATGCCCCGCTCGGCTCCGCACAACTCGGGCAGCGCCGGAACCGCCGCGGGACCCCCCGGAACCGCCGCCCGGCCCCGGGGCCGTGCCGGGACGTGGGGGGGCTCGGCAGGGGGAGCTCGGGGAGCTCCGCGCGGGGAGAGAGGCCGGCGAGGGCAGCGACCGGCGCGGGGGCTGCGGCCGGAAGGGCCGGGGTCCGGCCCCGGGGCCACGTGCGGGGCGGCGGCCGGTCCGGCCGGTCCGGGGGCCCCGCTCCGCCCCCGCCGCGTGCCCCGGGCCGGTCCCGACCCCGCCGCTTTGTCCCGCCCGGCCGAACAAAGGGCGCGGGAGCGGCGCGGCCCCGCCGGCCCGGCCCCGCTCCCCGCCGCGGTCCCGGTGCCCCATCCCCGGCCGCACCTCTTGGAGCAGTCCAGCAGCACGCCGGTGAAGCGCCGCTCCCCGCAGCTCAGCGTCACCACCAGCGTGTCGTTCACCATCTGCTCCACCAGCACCGGCACCCACGCGCCCACCCGCGGCGGCGGCGCCTCCGCCGCGTCCCCCGCCGCCGCCCCGGGCTCGGCCATGCTCCCGCCGCTCCCCGCCGGCGGGGCCGCTGGGCTGGGCCGCTGGGCCGTGACCTCACGGAGCGCCCGCCGCCGCCGCGCCCGACGTCACGGCCCCGCCCCGCCGCCGGCCATGGCGTCACGGCCCCGCCCCGCTACCGGGCACGTGCGTGGGACGGGGCGGGGGCGACCCCGAACGGGGCGCGGCGGGGCCGGGAGGGGCGGGGCCTGCCTGGGAAGGGCGGGGCCGGGCTGGCAGCGGGACCGGCACCTGGCGCCTCCTGGCGGCCGAGGCGCGCTCCGGCACCAGCGGGGCGGGGCCGATCGGGGGGCGGGGCCACCGGGGGCGCGGCCGTCAGGTGAGCCCCGCCCCGGCCATGGCTGCAGCTGCCGGCGCTGGGTCCCTCAGGAATGGCTCAGGACAGAAGAGCTGGGCTTTGGGATCACCATCACCAGAGGGGCTCTGGCTCCTTCAGGAATGGCTCAGGACAGAAGAGCTGGGCTTTGGGATCACCATCATCAAAGGGCGCTGGGTCCCTCAGGAATGGCTCAGGACAGAAGAGCTCGGCTGGGGGCACCTCTGGGATCACCCAGCCCAGCCCCTGCCCAGGCAGGGCCACCTGCAGCAGGGACACGGGAACGTGGCCAGCAGCGTTTGCAATGGCTCTGCAGAGGGAGACCCCAGCCCCTCCCGGGGCAGCTGCTCCAGGGCTCTGCCCCTCCAGGGAAAGAAGTTCTTCCCCGTGTTGGGTGGCACTCGCTGTGGTTCAGCTCCTGGCCGGTGCTCCTTGTCCTGGCACCGGCCTCTGGCAGCCCCTGGGCAGATCTGGAGGGGCTGGTGGGGTCCCCTCTCAGCCTTCCCTTCTCCAGCCTGGCCAGGCCCGGCTCCCACAGTCTGTCCTCACCTCAGGGATGCTCCATCCCAAAATGACCTCTGTGGCCTCTGCTGGACCCTCTCCAGGAGCTCCTTGACTTTCCTGTCCTGAGGAGCCCAAACTGGGCACGGCCCTGCAGATGTGCCTCACTAGGGCAGCGTGGAAGGGGCAGGATCACTGCCTGACCTCTGGCTACGCCCTTCCCCATGCAAATACCGATCCGAACGCATCCCAATGCAAATATGTACAAATAACATGTTTATTTTTACCAATGCTTTCTGGAAAGAGGCTGTGGTTTCCCAAATTGCTGACAGACTGAAGCATGCCTGATCCAATGGAATCCATACAGCTTCTCTGCTGAGACTGAAGCTGAATTCTCAGTGTACCCAAAGGGCTGGGACCCAACTGTGTCAAGCAGAGACTTGCCAGAAAGGCTGAGAAACGACAGCTCCCATGAGCAGCACTGTGCTTCCTTGCTGCTGTTCATCCAAGTAGCAAAATAGCAACAAAAAATCTCAGCTTAGCTGGTGTTTGGTATCATTTTTATGGAACTCTGTTAGTGTTTCAGTCCGGGACTGGGTGCACCTGGGGCAGCTGGGCCACCCTGGGATGCACAGAGTGAATCAGTGCCCAACCCCAGCACAGGGACAGACACACTCACCCCTCACAGACATCCAGAGGAGACCTTTCCAGAGCAAACCCGGCTGCCTTTGGTGGGATGTCCCTTTTCATTTCCCCCTCCTGCTTTTTCCATTTCCATGTGCTGTTTGACGTGCTGTTCTGGTTTATTTTCTCTGAGAGATTTTAGTAAACATGGTAAAATTATTATTTCAGTTGCTTTGCTTAATATACTAACTTTCAGTGGACATCAGACTTGTCTGGCCACAGCCATGGGGTCTGGAACCACCTCTCATTATGAGATAGATTAATACAATCTGTAGTATTATATAAACTATAAAAATATATTTTATATGCACTAAATCACAGTGTATTTTCCCTGAAAGCTGATGAAAATTCCCTTCCATTTACAGGCACTTGTTCAGCAGTTGTGTCCTGAGAGGATCAGCTGGAACACAGCCGTGGAGTTAGCCAGGACAGAGCCTCAGATACAGACACACTCATTTTTACGAGTGCAAAGCGGAGCAAACCAATGCTGACTCAGGAGCCAAGGCAGGGCCTGCCTCCACATGCTCTCATGCCCACACGTCTGCTCCTTGGCACTCTGCTGCCCTTCCCTCAGCACTTTCCAAATTAAGCAGCAAAAAAAAAATTGCCTTTGTCCTGCCCGGTTGAATGCCTTTAAACCTCAAAAATATTTTTTGAAGCAAATGATTTCCTAGACAAATCACCTTAGCCGTGCTTCAGGTTAATAAATCCCAGGGTTTTTCACCGAGAGGAGTTACTGTTGTAGGTTGGAACCATTTTACAGCACTTCCCTTGGCTGAGCCAAGCGCCCCTCTGTGCTGCTCACGGGACACTTGCCAGGTCTATTTTAGCTGCAGTGCCTGTGCTGCTGCAGGCACTCGGCTCCAGAGCGAGAATCCCATGGAACAAACCCATTCCAGAACTCTCCCTCTGTCCCCAGGCTGGGGACACCGCACGGTGCCTGGGCTCACATCCCTGTGACACCCTGGGAAAGCCGAGGTGTGCCGTGGCACCACGGGCGCTCACCTGCCTCCTTCAGCACAGAAACAGGGTTCTAAACCCCCACAATCCCTTCATTTCTCTGAAATATGTTCCAAGGTGCATTAATTAAAAGCAGCTGCCTTGTGTTTTTAAGCTGTTCCAACAACTATTTCAAAACTGAAATTTTTGGGGTTAAATAGCGGAATATTCTCTGTCATGCCCGAGGAATATGAAAACTGCTTCTAACACATGATAAAAGAGCATAAAAGTACACTTAGTGTGAGAGCAAAAATGAAGCATAATCAGAGTATGAGAATTCGCTGCAAAGTTCTCACTAATGTCATTGTCAGGCACTAAAGAGCCCTACCCCAGGTGTGAGAGGGGACAGCACCTGTCAGGCTGTGTGCCCGGGACAGCAGCCTGAGCCTGTCCCAGTGCCCCCAGTGCCCCCAGTGCTCCCAGTGCCCCCAGTGCCCCCAGTGCCCCCAGGACAGCAGCCTCAGCCTGTCCCAGTGCCCCCAGTGCCCCCAGTGCCCCCAGTGCCCCCAGGACAGCAGCCTCAGCCTGTCCCAGTGCTCTCAGTGCCCCCAGTGCCCCCAGGACAGCAGCCTGAGCCTGTCCCAGTGCCCCCAGTGCCCCCAGTGCTCCCAGTGCCCCCAGTGCCCCCAGTGCCCCCAGGACAGCAGCCTCAGCCTGTCCCAGTGCCCCCAGTGCCCCCAGTGCCCCCAGTGCTCCCAGTGCCCCCAGTGCCCCCAGTGCCCCCAGGACAGCAGCCTCAGCCTGTCCCAGTGCCCCCAGTGCCCCCAGTGCCCCCAGTGCTGCCAGGACAGCAGTCTCAGCCTGTCCCAGTGCTCCCAGTGCTCCCAGTGCCCCCAGTGCCCCCAGGACAGCAGCCTGAGCCTGTCCCAGTGCTCCCAGTGCCCCCAGTGCCCCCAGTGCCCCCAGTGCCCCCAGGACAGCAGCCTCAGCCGCTCCCAGCGCTGCCGGCGATCCTGCCGGGGAACGCCAGAGGACAGCATTGCCCTGTGCTGGAAACGCCCCGGGAGCGCGGAGCTGGGCTGGGAGCGCACCGAGAGCGCACCGAGAGCGCACCGAGAGCACACCGGGGGAGCACCGAGAGCACGGAACTGCTGTGCTGAGAGAACACCGAGAGCGCACCGAGAGCACGGAACTGCTGAGCCGAGAGCGCACTGAGAGCGCACCGGGGGAGCACCGAGAGCCCGGCACTGGTCAGAGCTCAGAGCGCACCGAGAGCACCGGGGGAGCACCGAGAGCGCGCCGAGAGCTCGGAACGGCTGTGTGATGATACTCCGTGTATTGTGGCCATCTCAACTGTGACGTGGCTGTGACAGTATTCTACGCACTTACGTCAAAATACCATTCATTCATCCAATACAGATTTGATAATGCACATAAAACTGCTTTTATTTTTTCAGTGGAAAAGGGGAGTTTCCCAGCACGATCCTGGTTACACAGCACAGAGGCTGCTCGCCTGCCCGCGGGGCTGCCTTGGTGCAGAGCTGTCCTTCCCCGTTCCAGTAAAACCCTGGGCTGGGTTCACGTTCACCAGCAAGAAATTCTTCTGTTACATCTTTCATTGTTTCTTCCTTCAGCTGCCAAACTCTTGGCTTGTGCCCTTCCTTAGGTGCTGCAGGCCCACACAGGACTGTGACAGCTCACCCAAGGCCACCACGAGCATTTCTGTGCAGTGAGAGGAGGTGGCTGCAGGGCTGCGCACCGGCCAGACTGCTCGGGCTCTGGGCAAAACAGAGTGTGTGGTGTCAGTCAGCACCCCAATGGAAACGGGCTCACTGGTCTGCTTTATTTCATGCATGTTTTATTCCCGAGGACTTTTCACAAAGGCACCTGTGTTCTGGAAGAAACCAGCAAGCTATTGATGTACATGAGCACAGCAGTGGCTTCATTCCGACGGATATTAAAGGATCTCATCTTTAATGGATTCGCACAGTTAACAGATCTCATCATTTGGCAAGCCCTCCGCCTGGAGTTTATCCATCCCACCATGCAGAAGCCAATCCAACTCACAATCGCTTTGGTTAAGTGCTCAGCGTTTCTGGCTCGTGCCAGGGCTGAGGGGCCCTGTCCCCAACGCCCTGCAGAAGTGAAGTTCTCAGAGCGGCGTCCACAGCCCTGCCGAGGGTCCCTGGCTGCCCTGGCCATGGGCACGCAGGGCTGGGCACGGCCCCACATTGCTGCCTGAGCCTGAGCTCTGGCAGGGTCACCCGGCCCCGCGCACAGGCCCCAAAAAGGGTTAAATGTGTCCAACCCACCGATCCTGTTAAACAGCAGGGAACTCTGAAACAGAGCAGGGCGTGCCAGCGGAAAATCCCAGCTCTGTGCTGGGATCTCTACCATGGAGAAAAGCAGAGTGGAAGCCAAGAGTGACGTAATTAATGTGCATATAAGGACTGAGTTGGAGCCACATACAACCCCAGCTTCTCTCACTTGCCTGCAGCATTTACAGCCTGCCAGTGCTGACTGAGGTATTAACAAAAAAAA